GTTAGGTAGTCGAAAAACAATTCATGAAAACTTGACTTATTAGGCAAATCGGGCCTTGCATAGTAGGCTGAGAAGTGAGTTCTGGCTACTAGGTACGACATATATATATATATATATATATATATATATATATATATATATATATATATATATATATATATATATATATATATATATATATATGTCGTACCTAGTAGCCAGAACTCACTTCTCAGCCTACTATGCAAGGCCCGATTTGCCTAATACGCTAAGTTTTCATGAATTAATTGTTTTTCGACTATCTAACCTACCTAACCTAACCTAACCTAACTTTTTCGGCTACCTAACCCAACCTAACCTATAAAGATAGGTTAGGTTAGGTTAGGTTCGGTCATATATCTACGTTAATTTTAACTCCAATAAAAAAAAATTGACCTCATACATAATGAAATGGGTAGCTCTATCATTTCATAAGAAAAAAATTTGAGAAAATATATTAATTCAGGAAAACTTGGCTTATTAGGCAAATCGGGCCTTGAATAGTAGGCCGAGAAGTGAGTTCTGGCTACTAGGTACGACATATATATGTCGTACCTAGTAGCCAGAACGCACTTTTCGGCCTACTATGCAAGGCCCGATTTGCCTAATAAGCCAAGTTTTCCTGAATTAATATATTTTCTCTAATTTTTTTCTCATTAAATGATAAAGCTACCCATTTCATTATGTATGAGGTCAATTTTTTTTTATTGGAGTTAAAATTAACGTAGATATAGGACCGAACCTAACCAACCCACCTAACCTAACCTATCTTTATAGGTTAGGTTAGGTGGCCGAAAAAGTTAGGTTAGGTTACGTTAGGTAGGTTAGGTAGTCGAAAAACAATTAATTCACGAAAACTTGGCTTATTAGGCAAATCGGGCCTTGCATAGTAGGCTGAGAAGTACGTTCTGGCTACTAGGTACGACATATATATATATATATATATATATATATATATATATATATATATATATATATATATATATATATATATATATATATATATATAAAATATCACTATTATGTTCTATTATTAATGAATTAAATCAGCCTATTGACTGAAATACTGTATATTTTTTTAACCTAAATTTTATTTTATTTTAATAATTTACTTAAATATTTTAATAGTTTTGTCCTGGATTATGTTAAAGATTAAAGTATATTTGCTGGTTTGCTAGGATGCTATTTTGGTGGTTTTCATAACCATAACCCTCCCACAGTGAATAGGACATCAGCCCAACCCGAAACTAAACTACCTGAGGTTTGCTTTTGCAGGCAATTGTAGACTAGACTCGTATCACATGTATGACCAAACATCCAGTGCAATTATGATATTAAGTAAACTTATAGCTAGCTCTTGCAGCAAGAGTGCTACGTATATATACGGAAGATTTTAATAGTTCCCATTAACTGTTGCAAACAAAAGGCCTGTTATAGGTTTATATTGAGTATCCCTTAGACCTGTGACTGACCTTTCCCAGGGAGGACCCCACAACAGTCACTTAACTCTTAGATATAGGGATTTAATTGCTGTGCGAACAGATATCACACTGATGTCCACTTAGGCCAACAACTGACATACAGTTCTGTTTGTTCTCGACTCACAATCGGAAATTCCTGGTTTGAATCCTGGTTGGGACAGGTTTGACACATTTACTATCACCTAATGCACCTGTTCACCTAGCAGTATATAGGTACCCAAGAGTTAGTTAGCTTATGGGGTTGCATCTTGGGGAGAGTCAGTACATCTTTGGAGGGGACCCGGATATAATTTGCCTTGAGGGCCACAATCTCCCTAGTGGCCTCGAAAAGGACAGGAAGCCAATAGTTTGTCAAAGATCCTCCCATTTATCCTGGTGATTTTATAAAGCTGGATTTATATAGCAGCATTTTAGCATTTATGGCTTCAGCGGGATGCCAGTTCCACGGGTTTGTAACCCAATGGGTGAAAAAACATCTTATGTTTTTTGTCCTACATGGTGAATTGTTGAGCTCAAAACTGTTGCTCCTTGTTTGTGTTACATCTGACCTTAGGAAGAAGTTGTCTGGATCAATATCCTCTAAATTGTTCATCATTTTAAGTTTCAGTGAGATCCAATCTGTTATGTCTGGTTTGCAATGCTGTTAGCCCTGTGGTCGCCAACTGTTCCTAGTATTAAGTGCACAGGGGTATCCAGTGATCCATGCGTATCATATAAATTGCTGGTAGGTGAACAGTGGGTGAAATGTTATACACGTTTATTCTGGTTAGTAATTTATATAACTGGCTCGGATCGCCTAATACCTCTGTATTAAAGTGGTCTAAAGGCCTAAAGTCTCAATTGGATTTGGATACCAGTTGTGTATCATTGAAATCCTCTCTTATTGTGGTGTGTTCATCGGCGCAGTGGTATATAGTGGTTGGAGGCTCCTATTGCCTAAGTGGATGAAATGTTAGCCACATGTATTGTGGTTAGCAATATATATATATATATATATATATATATATATATATATATATATATATATATATATATATATATATATATATATATATTGTGTGTGTGTGTGTTGTTAAATATGACTGAAAAAGTAAGATTAATAATTTTAACACGAATTTTCTCAATATTTCTTATGTTTCTTTTTACTGTCGATGGTAATTGAAAAATCAATTCTCCAAAATTCATTTCTATGCTCAATAAGCAATCTCCGAAGAAAGACTGACAAAGCTTAAATTACATTCTCTAGAAAGGTAAAGAAATAGGGGGACATGATAGAGGTGTGACTGAATGGACATGATAAAGGGGGATATTAATAGTCTATTAAACGTATCAACATGAGACAGAACATGAAACAATGGGTATAAATTGGATAAGTTTAAGATTTAGGAAAAAATCCTGGTAAATACTGGTTTGGTAACAAGGGGAGGACGCTGAGATACATGATAGTTCATGCTGTGTTCCTTCCCCGTTTGCAATGGACGTTGGTTGGAAGTATATAGGAAATTTAAAATAGACTAGGGATGATGGTATTATACATTAGGTTTCAGAGTCACTGTTTTAACGCACAGAAACACACGACTCATAGACCAGTTTTTTAATCCCCTTGAACGTGCCTGTGCAGGAACGCTGAGCGGCTAGCTGGTGACGTCATTGATCATTAGCAATGCCTGTGCATGGGCTACTGGGGTAACGAAAAACGTGTATGACTACGAAGGATCTTTTAATCCCCTTGAGCGAAATTTTCATGGACTATAAGGCTATCACCCGCTGGGGTAATGGAACATGACGGGGACTACGAGGGGCCGTGGCCAAATGAGCAAATTCTTAGACACTACCAACACAAACATTTTTGCTTTCTCCTCACTTGCACAACAGCTACCAACATCAAAGGTAAAATATTATTCATATATATATATTTTTTAATTCTGTATACCGTTTTAGTTAACCTTTGTTTCAACATTTGTCACTACAGAAGGTTGAACACCGCTAACACTACTAGAAAGTTCATTTTCCTGACTATCCTCTATCATCAATACGTCATGTTCTACCTTACTTTTTTCTACACACGTTTCACTTTCCATTTCACGTCCTGTTTCATCTTTTATTTCACGTCCTGTTTCACTTTCCATTTCACGTCCTGTTTCACTTAACATTTCACGTCCTGTTTCACTTTCCATTTCACGTCCTGTTTCACCACCATCTTCACTCCCGTCTACCCTCCATAGCTAATTTTTCTAATGCACTATATTGTTCACTATATTGTCACTATAAGTTCACTATATTGTCCTGAACCTTGTCTCCACAAGGTTAATTTTTTCAGCTGCATTTCCTACTTTCCCTAGGCTTGCCTTAATTGTCTCCGTTCCTTTCTCCCACACATTGTCCATAAGGGCTGTCATTGGCTTCCAGCTGTTTCCTCCATGTTCTTGCTGCACAATCTTTCCTTCCTTCGAGGATACATCTATCCTACCTGTAGGACCCGTTCTGGAGTCTCTCAGATGAGGCTTCATGCGGCATAGATAGGAACCAGCATTGTGGCTGCCTCGACAATTGCAACAAGATGGGACGATTTTTTCACCGTTTTTAATCTTGACCCTACACTCTCGAGAGTCGTGTTTTTTACCACAGCACCGACACCTGGGGTCAAACTGGCAATTCCAAGCCATATGTCCCCAACAAGAACACTTTATGCATAATATGGGCTCCTCAATGAATTTTGCAACTTTCCTGTAGCCTTGTACAAAAATTCTTTCTGGAGCCTCGCCCTTTACCAAGGCAACAACTTGACTTTGTTTTTCACCACCAACACTGTTCCTCCTTGCCCAAACAACACTATCATTGTTGAGAAGAAGATAATCAGGATCCAAATAAGTTGTATACTTAAAAACTATGATCTTGGTGTGCATCATACCTTCTTCAGGAGTAACCTATCACAATATTCTCAAACCCATCCGTCGTTAGGTGTTCCACGGCCTCTTAATTCTGTCCCAACTGTTATGTAGGGCCGGTGAGCACCCTCCTTGAATAGTGGTTCATATTTAAAAAAAACTCCTTAGCCAAACGAACTGTCCATTCCAGCTTTTGATGAAAGTTCAGTTGACACGTTGTAGGGAATAACAGCCTCTTCCTTCGATTAGTCTGCGTCTCTTGCGTCCTGCTGAGTAGGGTTTCATTTTTTGGTCTCTTTGTTATTTCATCTTCACTGTCACTGTCTCGCTGTCTGTGAATATTTCGCCGTTTATATCTGTTCATTACTGCTTGATACGGCCTGGTATCATCTTGTCTGTCATCCTCACTCTCATATTCTTCAGGCCCAGTGCAGGATCGTCTATCACTTAGGCAGACCGCCTCAGCCATTTCCTCGACACACAAAGGCACTGTATCACTGCAACAGTCGAGAACAAATTCACAATATCCATCTATTGAGACATTACAACATGGCGTATATGGCGGAAGATGGCAAGAATGATGATATTATGAGACAGTATAGGCGCCAGTCGAGGCCTGGCTGCCTCAGTCTCCACCTGTGGACGCCAGGTGTCGCTACGCTGCTGCGGGTTTACACAACGTTTACATAACAGTCTGGCTATTACAACGTGTGGACGCCAGCGCTGCATGGTGTGATCGACACCGTTGTGGTATGTAGCTGCATTTTACATTCCTGTGCCGTATACCCGTCATAATTCTCGACTCAGTCGGGAAACCTGTCTTCAATTCTTGGGCCGCAGAGAAATAGGCACATTTTCTTTAACATAATGCTTCTGTTCACCTAGCGGTAAATAGGTACTCGGGTTGAATTGAAATTGAAATAAGTTTATTGAGGTAAAATACACACAAAGGGATAAGGTAGCTCAAGCTATTCTCACCCCGTTCAGTACATGTGTTAATACATACATAGACACACATCACAAACAATAAACATATTACCAAACATTCTGAGAGATAAACATATACATTCCTCCCTTACACAAGTACTATGGTATCTGACGTACACGCAAATACTTTTATGACCTAGGCATACTGTATGAACAATTTGGTACTTGGGTGGTATAGGCAGGTGTTGTGGGGTTCCATCATGGGGGGTGTCTGTATAGCGCGACCTTGGAGGGGAGGGCGGGGCTTTGGTAAGTTTTTTTTTTACATATGGAGGTGTGTGTGTGTGGGGGGGGGGGGGTTTTAACGGCATCTGTTGGATATAGTGGCCAGTGTCTTATCAACACGAATAATTTAGCAAGAACAGCAATATTTATAAAAAAAGGTAGATTAATAATTGTTGAGACTGTATAAGCCTGACAGGTATGTCAAGAGGAAGAAGGCAGCAGCTAAAGCTGGCCCCGGCCTGGGCTCTATAGGTGAAACACTGCCGTCGTGTATGGGAGGGGGAGATGGGAGAGAAAGGCATCTGGCGTTACCACACTCCCCTTCCCCCTCCCCCCCCCCCTCCCATCCTACCAAACCCATCCCTCGGGGTTAGAAGGAATGAATTTGGAAGGGTGTATGGGCTTATGAAGGCGTGAAGGATAGATGAAATTGTTTATGTAATAATCTAAGATGAGGTCTGATAAAGACCTTTTGTGGCCTCTGTAATGCTTTTGCGCTACCGCTCACAGGATGAGTATGGGGTGCACAATAAACTAGCCGCCTTCGGCGGCAACAATCAATCAAAAATCATCATACAAATGATGTTGGTAGCTTAGCCATCTAACATGGCGGCTGCGGCCATGCTATTTTACTCTTCAGGTTAATTGTAAATTTATGATGTACCTATTAGTTTTAGTAAAGAAAAACCTTGCATGTAATTAGATATCCATTTTGCCACCCATTGTGAGAGTTTGGCCTTTTAGTATTCTAAGATAGAGAAATGACTGATGCTTTATCATGCATCTGGCAGCCCATAGTTTGTACCAGGCCTATCACTGGTCCTGTGAAATGTTCTATGTTTAAATAGGAAAGGGCTAAGAGTACTGTTTCATGTTTAAATGATTGTTAACTAAATTACCAGCTTAGATCTGCTTAACAGTTCTAAGCAAATGATTAAGAAGATGGACTAGTATTAACTAATATTAATTACTAACTCGACCGGCGTCCGAACGCATTTCATGCTCGAACACGGTACCCGTGCCCATATAAGGAAGGAGCACCCATACCTCTCCACACACGGGAGACATCTCCCGTCACGCAGGGTGCAGTCGCACCTCCACAGATCTCCAGTATCAGCTCTTGATACTGGTAATGGCTCAAAAGGGCCACCACTTACGGGCTATTCATGCCCGTGCCACCTTTTGGGTGGCTTAATCTTCATCAATCGATAAGACCTACCATTAATGTATAATGACTTTACTGTAAATATATAACTCTTGAACTGGAACATTCTCTGTAACTAGCTGACATGTAACTATAAGGTGTGAAGGATAGATGAAATTGTTTATGTAATAATCTAAGATGAGGTCTGATAAAGACCTTTTGTGCCCTCTGTAATGCTTTTGCGCTACCGCTCACAGGATGAGTAAGGGGTGCACAATAAACTAGCCGCCTCCTGCGGCAACAATCAAATCATGCAGGGCTTCACTAGTGGTGAAGTCCTGCCAGTGGGTATCGAACATCCATCTTAGGGCCTTGTTCTGGGTACGCTGGAGTTTTTCTTGTTGGTGCTGCAAGAGACAGTGGGATCAGAGCATATGTTAGGAGCGAAAGAATAAGTGCTTTATATAGATAAAGCTTGGTGGCTTGGGAGGCATGTCTGAGGGGGAAGAGTCGGATCGGTTGTCACAGAATATGAGAGTGCTGGCGCTGCTCTTTGCAGGGCCAGCGAACAGGCATATTGGAGACTAGGAGGACCAGTATCATCAAACCAATGATTATTACGGTCGATTACGGCAGTGTCTGGGACCCACTCGTACGTAGTTTCGAACCCTCGTCACGGCCTTGTGGATTTGTTCATCCAAACTGAGCTGTTTGCCATACAACAGGCATTCGCATATGTGATTGCACAAAACACTCAAAATGCAATCATACACACAGACTCAAAAGCTGCACTTCAAATATTAAGACAAAAACAGTGGAAAGGTAACGTGGAAATAATTACCACCATTTTGTATCTTGGAGCAGTCGCTAAAGGCAAAGGACTCAACAGCCTTAAACTGGATCCCATCCCATGTTTAATGCCCCAGGACAGGGCCACTTCAGTTTATTATGACCCAGGGCGGGGCCACTCCCATTTTTGAATCCCATTACATGAGAAAGCCGATGCAATTGCTAAATTGGCAACTCGTCATACAGTGATACATAAAACAATTCAACCCAACTTATAGTACATAAAAAACATCACCAAAAAACTCTCACACCTCAACAAAGCCTATCTACACCAGAGAGTAGCTGAAGGTTCGCCCTCTGCAATATGGTATCTTCAGGCAACCAAATTAGAAAGGTTAAATATCCCAAAAGGAATCCACAGAGGAATAGCAGTTCGGTTATATAGACTACGTCTAGGTTACAGATGCAACTGGGAGATTGGTGAACCCCGACAGAGAGAGTGCATCTTCTGCCAAACTGTCACAGAAAAGTCACTAATTCACTATCTCCTGGAATGTGAAGCAACCAACGACCTTAGTAGAGCTTTAAGAGTCCCTGAGTCTTGCAGTAACCAGCCTGAACCCATCAGCACAACCACTCTTCTGGTCAAAAAAGGTTTCCAGCAGCTGAACACTCTCATAAATGCCGTCAAGCAGTATCCTCCCCCGCGATAGCAGCCTGACGATTAAATGCGACCTCAGCACACTGAATAGATTTATTGAACAAGAAACTGTACCACTTACGGGCTATTCATGCCCGTGCCACCTCTTGGGTGGCTTAACCTTCATCAATCAATTAATCACCTCTCTCTCTCATTTGTGGCCGGTGCAAGGTGGAGAATGGTGATCTGATCTCAGTGAAGCCATGAGGCTATTAGGTTAAGTGTTACTTTATTGTTTGGAAGTATTACATAAGTTTTTAAAGTGTGTGTATGTTGTATGTTAGTGATAAGTACAAGCCCATTTTATTGTCAATTCCCAGTGCGTGGAACTTGCATATTTAAATTCATAGATAACTCTTTGCCCATGGCTGTGTCCTTCAGAAACGCCACATGTTGTACTGTAGAATTCTGTGCCTCTCATTATATTTAACTGTATGCACGTCCCTAGAGCATAAACTGGAAACTAGGAGGCCCCAAACTATTTCATTCTCCTCACCATCTATGCCTACTGTATGGAGTGGGGAAATTAATGGAATATTGTGTTAGTTTCAAGCACAATACATTTTCGAGCGCAAATGGGCACATGACATTGCACAGTCTGTAAACGTTCATTATCCTCTTAACAGAACTTAAATCAAATTATAGATGTTGGATAAAAATGTGTACAGATTTTTAACAATCGGATGCCTTATGATAATCCCCGCACGTCTACGAGTCATCCAATAAGGTTAGCAGACTTCTAGATGTTTCCACTGCTAGGCTTAGGCTCGGCTACAAGTACCTCTGGGAGTTTGTAACATCTGCTGATGTAGATTTGACAAAATGTAAACTCAGTCAGCAGAACTAGTCGCATACTTTGCGTCATTATATAATGGAATGTGAAAAAATCGCGGAATTCAGAGCTCTGAGAGAGATTCTGGATTCCTGGATTCTGAGAGAATTCAGAATCCAAGAAATGTGTAAGTTTTTCATTCATAATGATGTAATGCCGGGAATCTTAGCCAAGTATACAAAATTTGCTTACTGTAAGCAGTGCATGCACATGACTGAAAAGCTGCCGCCCAGTTAGGTGGGTGTGGAGCAAGACTAGTAACTGTATGACTCACCATAAATGTAGAGTGAATCGTATAGTGACTGTTGTGAGCCTCTTGTTGATTCATTTGTGATACAAAAGATTATCGATGGGTATATGTATTTGCGTAAGTGATTCATATCTATCTATCTATTTATCTATCTATCTATCTATCTATATATATATATATATATATATATATATATATATATATATATATATATATATATATATATATATATATATATATATATATATGTGTGTGTGTGTGACCGAAAAAGTAAGATTAATAATTCTAATACGAATTTTCTCAATATTTCTTATGTTTCTTTTCACTGTCGATGGTAATTGAAAAATTAATTCGCCAAAATTCATTTTTATTTCTAGTCTGACACGAAACGGACACTTGAACGCGTTTCGTAATAACTTATTACAGTTTCAAAGACTTTAGTTTACACACATACAACTATAACCTGCAAACACTAAACAGAGTTTAAACAGCTTTCATTTTATACCTGCATTTGGGTGAGGTGATATGTTACAACAGTTTTGGATGAGGTGAAAACAAACTTTCAACACAAGACAGAACACGAAACAATGGGTATAATATTGGGTAAGTTAAAGGGAAGAATAGAAGTAACTGCAAAGGGCCTATTGGCCCATATTTCTTGATGCTTCTATATTGGTGCGGAGTCTTGAAGTGGGCAGAATATAGTTGTGCATTAATTGGCTGTTGATTGCTGGTGTTGACTTCTTAATGTGTAGTGCCTCGCAGATATCAAGCCGCCTGCTATCGCTGTATATATCGATGATTTCCGTGTTTTTTGTTAAGACTTCTCTGGTGATGGTCTGGTTGTGGGAAGAGATTATATGTTCCTTAATGGAGCCCTGTTGCTTATGCAATGTTAATCGCCTGGAAAGAGATGTTGTTGTCTTGCCTATATACTGAGTTCTTTGAGGCTTACAGTCCCCCAAGTGGGCATTTGAAGGCATAGACGACATTGGTCTCTTTTAAAGCATTCTGCTTTGTGTCTGGAGAGTTTCTCATGAGTAGGTTGGCCGTTTTCTTGGTTTTATAGTAAATCGTCAATTGTATCTTCTGATTTTTGTCTGTAGGGATAACGTTTCTATTAACAATATCTTTCAGGACCCTTTCCTCCGTTTTATGAGCTGTGGAAAAGAAGTTCCTGTAAAATAGTCTAATAGGGGGTACAGGTGTTGTGTTAGTTGTCTCTTCAGAGGTTGCATGGCGTTTCACCTTCCTTCTTATGATGTCTTCAACGAAACCATTGGAGAAGCTGTTGTTGACTAGGACCTGCCTTTCCCTACAGAGTTTTTCATCGACTTACTTCCATCCTGAGCTGTGGCTGAGAGCACGGTCGACATAAGCGTTAACAACACTCCTCTTGTACCTGTCTGGGCAGTCACTGTTGGCATTGAGGCACATTCCTATGTTTGTTTCTTTAGTGTAGACTGCAGTGTGGAAACCTCCGCTCCTTTCCATGACTGTTACATCTAGAAAGGGCAGCTTCCCATCCTTCTCCATCTAGTAAGTGAAACGCAACACAGAATTCCGCTCAAATGCCTCCTTCAGCTCCTGCAGATGTCTGACATCAGGTACCTGTGTAAAAATGTCGTCAACATACCTGCAGTATATGGCCGGTTTCAAGTTCATGTCGACTAAGACCTTTTGTTCAATGGTACCCATGTAGAAGTTCGCAAACAGGACACCTAGGGAAGAACCCATGGCGACCCCATCTACTTGCATATACATGTGCCCATCCAGGCTCAAGAAGGGTGCCTCTTTAGTACAAGCTTGGAGGTAGTTTCCTTAGAATGTTTTCTGGTATGTCAAGAGGAGTACAGGCTAGATCACGATACACTCTGTCCGCTATCATCCCGATTGTTTCATCCACAGGTACGTTGGTAAACAGTGATTCTACGTCCAACGAGGCTCTTATCCCTGTGGCCCGTGTTCCCCGCAGTGAGTCAACAAATTCCTTTGGAGACTTCAGGCTGAAGGCGCAAGGGACATAAGGAGTCAGCAAGCTGTTGAGTCGCTTCGCCAGTCTGTATATGGGTGTGGGTATCTGGCTGATGATTGGCCAAAGTGGGTTTCCAGGCTTGTGTGTCTTGACATTTCCTATGTTGTTTTTTTTTAGATATATACAAGAGTTGTTACATTCTTGTACAGTCACTAGTACGCGTAGTGTTTCGGGCAGGTCCCTGGAATACGATCCCCCTGCCGCGAAGAATTGTTTTTTCATCCAAGTACACATTTTACTGTTGCATTAAACAGAGGCTACAGTTAAGGAATTGCGCCCAGTAAATCCTCCCCAGCCAGGATACGAACCCATGACATAGCGCTCGCGGAACGCCAGGCGAGTGTTTTACCACTACACCACGGACACTATGTCTTGACATAGACAAGAAATAAAAATGAAGTTTGGAGAATTGATTTTTCAATTACCATCGACAGTGAAAAAAAACATAAGAAATATTGAGAAAATTCGTGTTAGAATTATTAATCTTACTTTTTCGGTCATATTTAATAATATATGTCTACAGGAAAGACTGCTACCAAAATATACTAATACATTTTATATATATATATATATATATATATATATATATATATATATATATATATATATATATATATATAATATAATGGGTTCAGGAACGAACTATGGTGGTCAGGTCCTGAGCCCATTACGTGCCTCTGTAACCATTTCCACCACCGCTCACGGGATGGGTATGGGGTGCATAATAAAGAAAGAAATTGAATTATGATAATCATTCGTGTATATTTCAATCTTTCATTTGGTTTCAGAGAGGCGACAATCATGGGACGGAGCCGCAAACTGGCCAGAAAGCTCCTCAAACGGACAGCTGAGAACCGACAATCGGCTGATGAGAAACAGTGTAACGAGGATGAGAAACACACTGAGAAACACCAGGAGAATGGAGACCTGCAACAGACCGGCGAGCACCAACAGCCTGGTGCTCTGACCAAAACAATAATCCATTGCTGTAACATCTGCCAGTTGACGTTCACTACAACATTGAGCTTTGAAAGACACATGAAGAGACATGAAGCAGACAAACCACATAAGTGCCAACACTGTGACAAGAAATTTGTAACCAAATCTGGCCTCGATATCCACAGAAGAAAACACACAGGTGAGAGACCATTCAAGTGTGACAATTGCTCAAAGGCCTTCACAACACGATCAGTACTCATAATGCACATGAGAGGCCACACAGGTGAGAAACCCTATGAGTGCAATATTTGTGGTGCAAGATTCACTCAGAGTGCAACTCGAGCTGACCACATGCGGCGTCATACAGGAGAGGAACAATACCAATGTACCAATTGCCCAAAAAAATTTGTTACGAGAATAGGGTATCGTGGACACATATTGGTGTGTCAAAGAAAAAGTAAGATTGAGTGTAAAATATGTACAAAACAATTTATCACCAACAGTTTACTTATAGCACATATGATTACACATTCAAATGAAAGACCATTTGAATGCGGAGAATGTGGAAAAAAGTTTAAAAGCAAATATTCGTTAGCACTCCATCTTAAATTCGTACATTTAAAAGAAAAACCTTACCAGTGTGACATATGCATGAAAAGATATTCAGCAAAAAAGTCTCTCATCATGCATACGATGACTCATACTAATATTGGCAGATTTCAGTGTGAACAATGTGGAAGGATGTTCAACTCTAAGAGACATGTTCTCCGTCACCAAACTTCTCAAAATGGATGCAAGAGAAAGTATGTTTTTAAACCATTCTTTTGTAAGCAATGCGGAGCCCAGTTTAACAGTGACGCAGCCGTTCGCAAACATAAGAGGAGGACCCCGGATTGCACAAAAACACATGTACGTTTCTTATGTGACTTCTGTCGTGAGGATTGTAAAACATACGAAGGACTTGTAACGCATCTGCTTGATCATGCTGAACCTGGAAGGAAAGGTTATGACAACTTACTCAATAGAATGACTCATGGCAAAAAACGTGTCAACCCAGCCTTGATAGTGAAGGTTTACAACTCGGGTAAAGTTAGTACGCCGAGAGACAACATTGGTGCTCACATTAATATCGATCAACGGCAAGCCACAAGCGTCCCTACTGACCATTCACAAGTTGTGCACAACAACACAGCTGTGGACCATCAACGAGGCAATGCAGACTATCACAAAACAGCTATAGACCATCACGACAGAGCTGTAGATCACCACAAAACAGCTGTAGACCATCACGAAACTGGTGTAGATAATCACAAAACAGCTGTTAACGTCTTCTCTCAGGATACGTGTTTAACTAGTGAAACTAATTTTGATAACATAAACACGAATGATAAGCTAAATAAGGATGAGGGAAGAAAATATCTCGGAAATACAGATGCATATTGTAATTTAGACAGTAATCACGTGAATGGTATATGGGGAACATGTCAAGATCTTGGCAACAACTATATTTCAACCAGGGAACTGCAGGTGAGGGATAAATGTGACATAGAAGTGATCAAACATGCTTGTGTGATGCAGAGAAGTTATCCAATGATTACGGAAGCAGAAGAAGTGGGTTTGAAAGAGGAGGAGGAGACAGAGGATTATAATTTAGAAAGTAAACACATTGATGGTATATGGGGAACCTGTCAAAATCATTGCGACGACTATTATTCAACTAGGGAACACAAGGTGAAGGAAAAATGTGACATAGAAGTGATCAAAGATGCTTGTGTGATGCAGAGAAGTTATCCCATGATTAAGGAAGCAGAAGAAGTGAGTGTGAAAGAGGAGAATGAGACAGTGGAGAAGTGGGTAGAAGAGCCGGAGATGCAGAAGACATCAGATAGACAGTTCCTAGAGAGCACCTCACTCCTCATCGTCAACGGCATCACCACAATCAAGCGTGAAGCGTGTCATCCTGCTCCTCACACTTCAGTACCTCATTATTGATCATATGTTCGACCATCCAACAACTGACTACCTCACAGCCTCTTGGCTACCTAAGGCTTGGCTCTCTTGTACTCTATTACCTTTATATACGTTTATCATTAGAAACAAATGTGAGAACATCTCACATTTGTTAGTTTACGTCTCATTTAGTATTGTCTTAACTCCATTTTATGTATAACAAAAAATTAACTGAATTATATTAAGTTTTGCCTGAAACGCTTTGCGTATTAATGGCTTTATTTATTATCATTAATATTATTATTACTATTATTATTTACACAAGCAGATCACACTAGCGTGATATATCAATGAGAAAAATTGGAGCAAGAAGTACTGTGGATTCGATTGAATCTCATGTTGTATAACTTTTACCATGTTGTGGTCCAGAGGTAAGGTGCATGGCTTGGGAGTACCCAGGTCGAGGGTTCAAATTTATTCGAATTTCGGATATCTCTTTCTCCTCTCGTAGAAAGGAGTGAACCAAGTATACTACTCTATACTAATAGATATACCAATTAGTATACTAATTGGTAAAGCAGGAGAAGTAGCCTCTTTCATTGAAACATACTGCTGTCTGTCACTAAGGTAAGATTGCAAGTACTGTAGGGAGTGGCCTCTGACTCCATAGTGTTGGAGTTTGAGAGAAGGTTAATGTGGTTGTCAAAAGCATTACCAAGGTAAATAAATAAACCAATGTGGTACACATTTTTGTCAAGGGCTGCATGTATTAGGTTAAGCATATTTATAAGAGCATCATTGGTGCTTTTATGGGGAATGAAGCCATATTGGCTTGAACTGAGAACAGTATATTGTGTTTATCGAGAAACGAATAGAGTTGTTTGTATATGAGTTTCTCAAAGATTTTGGACAAGGTGGGAAGGCCTGATATTGGTCTGAAATTCTTGATTTCGGTGAGATCTCCACTCTCATGGACTGGAATGACTTTAGTCATTTTAAGAGCATCTGGAAAGTCTTCGAACTCCAATGATTTATTGTAGAGCAATGCTATTGCAGGAGCTAGAAACCTTGAGAAGTTTTTATAGATTAGGGTTGGTATCTCAGAAGGGTTACAGGATTTAGTTTTAAGTGACAGGGCAATATAAATATTATATGAGGAGTTAGGTGGGGACAGGTACAGAGGCTCAAAATAGTTGCCAGAGGTAATCGCTCACATTACTTGGGGGAGCTGGGAGGTGCCAATAGACGAAAAGAAACTATTGAATTTAGTAGTCGTGTCAGCGCAGTTGATAAAATTCCACTATTTCCAGCTAGGATTATTTTTTTTTTTTTTATCCAAGTTCTTCTTTGACTCTAATATCTGGGAAATAGTATTCCATGTTTTCTTTTTGTTACCTTTTATAAATTTAAAATTATTTTCATAGTGGGTTGTCTTGGCTTTTTTTAATATCTTAGAAAGCAGTGAGGAGTATTGCTTAGCCAGTTCTCTGGGAATGATACCAAGCCTGCATTTCTTCTCATATTCATTTTTTTTTATTAATTGAAGTAAGTAAAACCTCATTGAGCCAATGGTTGATGGCACTTTTAGTTGTGACTTGCTTACTAAGTAAAGGACAGTGAATATTATAGAGGCTTAGAGTTTTGCGAAGAAATGTCTGCACTCTTAGATTAATATTTTTCATATTTCCAAATTTCGTTTCCCAGTTTATGTTACCGGCAGCAGCTGTAAAGGTACTTATGGAAGCTTCAGTAAGCAGTCTAAAGCTTGTTTTCTTTGTTTGAGGAGAAGGTTTAAAAATGTTAGGAGAAATGTTGGGTAGTGGTCTGTTGTATCATCAGTGATTATTCCAGAGCTTAGTGGAGAGGTTACGGTAGTCCAAATGTGGTCAAGGGTGGAGGCAGTTTCAGTAATTCTCGTGGGTTTAGTAATCAAAGGCAAAAACACACAGGAGTTCATACAGTTGAGGAAGCTGGCAACAAGTGGGTTACCTGGCTGGCAGAGGTCAGTATTGAAATCTCCAGTTAATTTTAGTTGATTTTTATTGAGCTTTTTCCTTATTATTAAGTTTCTAAGATTCGAATTTAATTCAGCTACATCGGTATTAGGAATTCTGTAGACTGCTCCCAAAGTAAAGTTGGTGATCAGGCCCTTCAGTTTGAACTGGGAAAATATATGTTCTCCATGGGTTTGATCATTTTTGTACATAGTTCCTTATGGTAATAAATTAAATGGAATCAATTAAATAATTAATTTGATGTACCACCACCTTTCTGGTAAGATCTACAGCTGTGGATAGCAGAACAATTAGGAATATTATATAGTTGGGTAATGTCATCATTCAACGAGGTCACAGTAATAACAACAAAGAAAAATTGGTAATTTAGCGCTTGCAATAAGGCACCAACATCATCATGGTGTTTGCTAAGAGACCTTACATTGATGTTAATTAGACACATTGGTGTTATTTAGACACATTATGGTTATTTGATAATAAATTGTTGGCAAGTTTTGCTGTGTAATACTTACAGTTATTATCATTAAATTGATGATTGTGATAGACAGTAGATAAGAGATTCAGTTGAGGGTTATTATAGTTGAAAGTAATTCAGTTTCGAGCAGCCTGTATGTCAGTGTTCTGTTTCACGTGAGTTTGTTTACAGGACAATTTACATTTTTATATCTATCTTTTACGCTATTATTAGTGTTATATTTCTAAATAAATTGTTGCCACTTTGCCCGACTTTCATTCACAGAAACTCCGTGAGCAGGAGCTAGGACTAGCGTCACTCTACACGATGTTAGTGAATGTCCGTTATCAAGGATTTTAGACCAAATAGCATAAGATAGTGGAGCTTTTTCCCAGTGGGTACCGTTGGTTGAAAGCGACCGACGTTACACACTGTTTATTGTATCACGTCGGTCGCTTTCAACTAACGGTGCCCACTGGGTTATAACTATTTCATTCACTCAGGAATATTCTCCTACCTAATGAACATTAGAAGATATTCTCATACTCTAACCCGCACGTGTTCAGGGATATATCAGGAACAGTTGAGGGGCCACAGGGCTAACAACACTGCAAACCAGGCATTACGAGGCTGACCTCATTGAAACTTTTAAAATATTGAACAATTTGGAGGATGTTGATCCGGGCAATTTCTTGAAAAGGTCAGATGTAACACAAACAAGGAGCAACGGTTTCAAGCTCAACAAGCCACAATGTAGGACTGAGAACAGGAGAGGCTTTTTCATCCATTGGGTTATTAACCCATGGAACCGCCTACCCGCCGAAGATGTATATGCCAAAACTCTTTTAAATTTTAAAGTCCAACTGGAAAAGATCATCATGTCGAATGGGGGAATCTTCGACAAGCATGTAGATACAGAACAACATGGTATAGCAGACGTTCGATTGTTCCTAATATATCATTGTTAAAAATAAAAATATGATGACTGCAAACATCATACCATAATTACCAATCAGTCACTAACTACCAGTATCTACGGGAGAGTGAGGTCAAGCTCTTCATGCCCCGCCTATCAGCCTTCTTAATCATACCTGTTGAGTTATAAATTAACTATTCTGAGGTTCGAATTCTTTGTCGAATCTGACCTTAAAGTTGTGGCTTCTACAACTTTCTTCAAAGCATTTAATTGTACTTTTTTTTGCCTTTAATCATATACGTATATTGTATAATTAGCTTTATCTTATATAAAATTTATGTGTAATAATTAGCCATTGCAACATATTCTTATATATATTTTTTTATAAATAAGATTATTTTCATTATTATTGTTTTATTATTATTATTATTATTACTATTATTATCATCATCATCTTGTGTAAACAGGTAACGTGTACAAATAATATTTATTATTTATTTATTTATTTATTTATTTATTTATTTATTTATTTATATACAAGAAGGTACATTGGGTTTGTGAGAATACATAGCATGGTATTTACATTCTTGTAAAACCACTAGTACGCGCAGCGTTTCGGGCAGGTCCTTATCTAACAGATAATTTTAAGTATGTAAATTCTAGCAGAATTAATAAAATGCTAACAGATACATTGCAAGAAAAAAATGAGATGAGAGAGATTAGTAGGTATATTAAAGCACATTGGTAGCTCTGATTGATTGCATTGACAGCTTGATTGGTAATTTAAACAAAGATTAATAGGCACCATACAGCAAATTCCTTTACATATAAGAAGACAGCAATGATCACAATGGTAAAGTTGTTGCATATTAATATAGAGTCTTAGACCACATAATATATTAAATATACAAGAAGCATAAATAATGCATTGAAAGTTATTGATATGCCAAGAAAAATGCATGGAGGCTACATAAAGATTTAGGCTGGTCCCCCGTCAGCTGTGAGTCAGCTGGAGGAGCGTGTCAAGAGTTGGAGCAGGAAACATGGCGACGGGTGCAGAGACACGCGGCGTCTCATCGCCTGAAAACTTTGAAAATGTTGAGTAACGTGGAGACTTGCCGGCACCAAGCACACACTCGGATAAAGATGGTTCCCCCGTGCTTTAAGGAGGATCAAGAAGGAGCCTGATGACAAACATCAACCAAAGGTAGGCCAAATTCTCCTGGCTTTAAAACTGTTATCATTTCATTTGGTGACCAGCTTCTCTGGATATTAGAGTTTTCGACAACAGCAGGAACACAGAGTATAATTTACAATGGCATTCAAACAAATTCTTCGGGATTAAGGTGCACGATATCAGGCCAAACAAGCGAAAGAAGTGATGTAGTCCACATCACTGTGAACTACAGTCCCTACACCCCTCCGTGGTGCTTCCTTGTCGTGGTGAGGGCTCACGTATACCTCCTTGTGACCGGCGTGGGTTGCTTTTGTCCCCCCTCCTGCCTCCTCTTTGGGTGGTGTACGTACTGAAGGGCACCACGTAGGGGCCTTGTCAGCCATCGAACCACCTGCTGGAGAGGTCGCCCGTGAGGGGCCGCCCTGAGTGCATGGTTGGGTGTCCAGGCTGGGGCGATAGGGGAAATGGGGTCTTAGCACCAGTGTGGGAGAATGGACGATGTAGTAGGACTCCCCTGTTGAAAAGGGGGAGCACCGCTGTGGACGACGCTACCTTCCTGCACTGGCCCGCGCTCGGCCTCCCTGGCTGCCCTGGTAGGTGGTTTGGGACCCTTGGTTCCGGGTCCCAAACCTTTCAATTGATTGATGCATGGATGATGACACGACTTCTCTTACCCAGGTTCATGGGGTGGGCGACCAGGCCCCAGGCCCCTGAGTCGGACTGTCCTGGAAGACCGGGCTCTGTAGCCCCCGCTGCAGGGCCCGGTTTAGGCTCAGACCGGACTACTTCCTGCTCCCCTCCCTCCTCTGTGGATGGGTCGAGCCTCAAGCCTGCTGTGGTGACCACAGCAGCTTGCATTCTCTTATACTCTTATTCTCTTGCACGGCTCCATCTCTCATTGTGACTACTGTGCCTTATGACCCATCTCTCTCTAGAGGTTCTCACCGCCGTCCCCGCCACGGCCGCTCTCGTATGCTCCCTTCCCATACTAATTCGTACCATGCCTTGTTTGGTCCTGCTATGTGGACTATGTACTTTGACCTCCATCCTTAAGATTCAACTCCTCCTGACGACTTTTCCCTTCATAGGCATCTTGTTGATTCAGTAGATGCCTCTGTTATTTTCAACTCCACTCGTCTTGGTACCTGTGTCATTGCTGCTCCTTCTCAGGATGCAGTCACCCGCTTGACCGCCTTATCCTGCATTGGCGAGACCCCTGTTCGGGTCTCCAAGAACGCTCTGTTAAATGCCAGTGTTGGCAATGTTCTCCTCCCGCACCATGTTGCAACCAGAGTTAGAAATCTAAAAGACTGCCACGAGGATATCAAGCATATCCTCGAGGCCCAAAGCCATTCCGCCCTTCAGGTGGATACGTTTGCTCGTCCCCCTCGTGGCTGTCGCCGTCTGCCCCTTCGGGCTGTGAAGATTTTCTTTGATGGTAGGACCCTTCCGCCCTCTGTCATTCTTGCTGGGTGCCAGATGCTCCATTCAGGAGTATATTCCATCTCCTCGTCTCTGTAACAAGTGCTGGAAGTTTGGGCATGGTGCCCTCAAATGCTCTAGTCCTGTCTCTCTCTGTCCATTGTGTGGGGATGAGGGTCACTCCAAGTTGGAGTGCACTTCTCCCCAGGCCCGCTACTTCAATTGCGGTGAGGCCCACCCTACCTTCTCCCGCACGTGTATACGTTACAAACTTTAGGCAGCCGTCCTCAACTTGAAGCACCGGGACCGTTTGTCTTTTCCTGAGGCAAGGCACCAAGTTTACCATCATAGTGCCGGCGGGCTGATGGGCTAAATAGCCTCGGCTACCATCAGTTTTTGTCCGGTTGTGATGGTCAAGTGGATTAAGGCGTCCTGTACATACCAGTTGCGTTGCTCCTGGCAGTATGGGTTCGAGTCACTTCTGGGGTGTGAGTTTTCAGTTGCATATAGGCCTGGGGACCATTCAGGCTTGTTCGCATTTGTGTTCCTCACGTGTGCCCCAAAGAATGAGGTGATTTGATAAAATGCTATGCCCAAGATTACCATCAGAGTGCCGGCGGGCTGATTTGCTAAATAGCCATGGCTACCATCAGTTTTTGTCCGGTTGTAATATATTTATACACTATATGAATGATATATATATATATATATATATATATATATATATATATATATATATATATATATATATATATATATATATATATATATTTATATATATATATATATGCTATATGTATGATATATAAATATGATATATATATATACACTAATAATATATACACTTTGCAACTGGTGTACAGGGTACTTTATCCACTCCACCATCACGACTGGACAAAAGCTGATGGTAGCCGAGGCTATTTGCCCATCAGCCCGCCGGCACTCTGATGGTAATCTTGGACATAGTATTTTATCAACTCCCCTTATTCTTTGGGGCACACGTGAGGAACACAAATGCGAACAAGCCTAAATGGTCCCCAGGCATACATGCAACTGAAAACTCTTCTTCTGGGGTGTGAGTTTTCAGTTGTCGAGTCTACTGCCTTCGCTGTATCTATCGATGATTTCTGTGTTGCTTGTTAAGATTTCTCTGGTGATGGTCTGGTTGTGAAAAGAGATATGTTTCTTGATATATATATATATATATATATATATATATATATATATATATATATATATATATATATATATATATATATATATATATATATATATATATGTCGTACCTAGTAGCCAGAATGCACTTCTCAGCCTACTTTGCAAGGCCCGATTTGCCTAATAAGCCAAGTTTTCATGAATTAATATATTTTCTCTAATTTTTTTCTTATGAAATGATAAAGCTACCCATTTCATTATGTATGAGGTCAATTTTTTTTATTGGAGTTAAAATTAACGTAGATATATGACCGAACCTAACCAACCCTACCTAACCTAACCTAACCTATCTTTATAGGTTAGGTTAGGTTAGGTAGCCGAAAATGTTAGGTTAGGTAGTCGAAAAAGCATTAGGAAAACTAGTCGAAAAAGGCTGCATTAGTTCATGAAAACTTGGCTTATTAGGCAAATCGGTTTTCATGAATTAATGTTTTTTCCAACCTACATAGTAGGCTGAGAAATGCGTTCTGGCTACTAGGTACGATAGTAGGCAGAAGTATATACGACATATATATATATATATATATATATATATATATATATATATATATATATATATATATATATATATATATATATATATATATATATACTACAAATTGTATCTATTGAGACATCTACAACATGGCGTATATGGCGGATGATGGCAAGAATGATGATATTATGAGACAGTATAGGCGCCAGTCGAGGCCTGGCTGCCTCAGTCTCCACCTGTGGACGCCAGGTGTCGCTACGCTGCTGCGGGTTTACACAACGTTTACATAACAGTCTGGCTATTACAACGTGTGGACGCCAGCGCTGCATGGTGTGATCGACACCGTTGTGGTATGTAGCTGCATTTTACATTCCTGTGCCGTATACCCGTCATAATTCATTCTCGACTCACAGTCGGGAAACCTGTCTTCAATTCTTGGGCCGCAGAGAAATAGGCACATTTTCTTTAACATAATGCTTCTGTTCACCTAGCGGTAAATAGGTACTCGGGTTGAATTGAAATTGAAATAAGTTTATTGAGGTAAAATACACACAAAGGGATAAGGTAGCTCAAGCTATTCTCACCCCGTTCAGTACATGTGTTAATACATACATAGACACACATCACAAACAATAAACATATTACCAAACATTCTGAGAGATAAACATATACATTCCTCCCTTACACAAGTAGTATGGTATCTGACGTACACACAAATACTTTTATGACCTAGGCATACTGTATGAACAATTTGGTACTTGGGTGGTATAGGCAGGTGTTGTGGGGTTCCATCATGGGGGGTGTCTGTATAGCGCGACCTTGGAGGGGAGGGCGGGGCTTTGGTAAGTTTTTTTTTTACATATGGAGGTGTGTGTGTGTGGGGGGGGGGGGGTTATAACGGCATCTGTTGGATATAGTGCCCAGTGTCTTATCAACACGAATAATTTAGCAAGAACAGCAATATTTATAAAAAAAAGGTAGATTAATAATTGTTGAGACTGTATAAGCCTGACAGGTATGTCAAGAGGAAGAAGGCAGCAGCTAAAGCTGGCCCCGGCCTGGGCTCTATAGGTGAAACACTGCCGTCGTGTATGGGAGGGGGAGATGGGAGAGAAAGGCATCTGGCGTTACCACACTCCCCTTCCCCCTCCCCCCACCTCCCATCCTACCAAACCCATTCCTCGGGGTTAGAAGGAATGAATTTGGAAGGGTGTATGGGCTTATGAAGGTGTGAAGGATAGATGAAATTCTTTATGTAATAATCTAAGATGAGGTCTGATAAAGACCTTTTGTGCCCTCTGTAATGCTTTTGCGCTACCGCTCACAGGATGAGTATGGGGTGCACAATAAACTAGCCGCCTTCGGCGGCAACAATCAATCAAAAATCATCATACAAATAATGTTGGTAGCTTAGCCATCTAACATGGCGGCTGCGGCCATGCTATTTTACTCTTCAGGTTAATTGTAAATTTATGATGTACCTATTAGTTTTAGTAAAGAAAAACCTTGCATGTAATTAGATATCCATTTTGCCACCCATTGTGAGAGTTTGGCCTTTTAGTATTCTAAGATAGAGAAATGACTGATGCTTTATCATGCATCTGGCAGCCCATAGTTTGTACCAGGCCTATCACTGGTCCTGTGAAATCCTGAAAAACGTGTGCCCCAAAGAATGAGGTGATTTGATAAAATGCTATGCCCAAGATTACCATCCGAGTGCCGGCAGGGAAGTGGTTCAAATAGCTTCGGCTATCACTTCCTTATGTCCGGTCGTGATGGTCAAGCGGATTAAGGCGTCCCTGTACATACCAGTTGCGTTGCTCCTGGCAGTATGGGTTCGAGTCACTTCTGGGGTGTGAGTTTTCAGTTGTATATAGTCCTGGGGACCATTCAGGCTTGTTTGCATTTGTGTTCCTCACGTGTGCCCCAAAGAATGAGGTGATTTGATAAAATGCTATGCCCAAGATTACCATCCGAGTGCCGGCGGGGAAGTGGTTCAAATAGCTTCGGCTATCACTTCCTTATGTCCTGTCATGATGGTCAAGCGGATTAAGGCGTCCCTGTACATACCAGTTGCGTTGCTCCTGGCAGTATGGGTTCGAGTCACTTCTGGGGAGTGAGTTTTCAGTTGTATATAGTCCTGGGGACCATTCAGGCTTGTTTGCATTTGTGTTCCTCACGTGTGCCCCAAAGAATGAGGTGATTTGATAAAATGCTATGCCCAAGATTACCATCCGAGTGCCGGCGGGGAAGTGGTTCAAATACCTTCGGCTATCACTTCCTTATGCCCGGTCGTGATGGTCAAGCGGATTAAGGCGTCCCTGTACATACCAGTTGCGTTGCTCCTGGCAGTATGGGTTCGAGTCACTTCTGGGGTGTGAGTTTTCAGTTGTATATAGTCCTGGGGACCATTCAGGCTTGTTTGCATTTGTGTTCCTCACGTGTGCCCCAAATAATGAGGTGATTTGATAAAATGCTATGCCCAAGATTACCATCCGAGTGCCGGCAGGGAAGTGGTTCAAATAGCTTCGGCTATCACTTCCTTATGTCCGGTCGTGATGGTAAAGCGGATTAAGGCGTCCCTGTACATACCAGTTGCGTTGCTCCTGGCAGTATGGGTTCGAGTCACTTCTGGGGTGTGAGTTTTCAGTTGTATATAGTCCTGGGGACCATTCAGGCTTGTTTGCATTTGTGTTCCTCACGTGTGCCCCAAAGAATGAGGTGATTTGATAAAATACTATGCCCAAGATTACCATCCGAGTGCCAGCGGGGAAGTGGTTCAAATAGCTTCGGCTATCACTTCCTTATGTCCGGTCGTGATGGTCAAGCGGATTAAGGCGTCCCTGTACATACCAGTTGCGTTGCTCCTGGCAGTATTGGTTCGAGTCACTTCTGGGGTGTGAGTTTTCAGTTGTATATAGTCCTGGGGACCATTCAGGCTTGTTTGCATATATATATATATATATATATATATATATATATATATATATATATATATATATATATATATATATATATATATATATATATATATATATATATGACCGAAAAAGTAAGATTAATAATTCTAACACAAATTTTCTCAATATTTCTTATGTTTCTTTTCACTGTCGATGGTAATTGAAAAATCAATTCGCCAAAATTCATTTTTATTTCTAGTCTGACGCCACACTTGAACGCGTTTCGTAATAACTTATTACAGTTTCAAAGACTTTAGTTTACACACACACAACTATAACCTGTAAACACTAAACAGAGTTCAAACAACTTCCATTTTATACCTACATTTGGGTGAGGTGATATGTTACAACAGTTTTGGATGAGGTGAAAACAAACTTTCAACACAAGACAGAACACGAAACAATGGGTATAATATTGGGTAAGTTAAAGGGAAGAATGGAAGTAACTGCAAAGGGCCTATTGGCCCATATTTCTTGATGCTTCTATATTGGTGCGGAGTCTTGAAGTGGGCAGAATATAGTTGTGCATTAATTGGCTGTTGATTGCTGGTGTTGACTTCTTAATGTGTAGTGCCTCGCAGATATCAAGCCGTCTGCTATCGCTGTATATATCGATGATTTCCGTGTTTTTTGTTAAGACTTCTCTGGTGATGGTCTGGTTGTGGGAAGAGAATATGTTCCTTAATGGTGCCCTGTTGCTTATGCAATGTTAATCGCAAGGAAAGAGATGTTGTTGTTTTGCCTATATACTGAGTTCTTTGAGGCTTACAGTCCCCCAAGTGGGCATTTGAAGGCATAGACGACATTGGTCTCTTTTAAAGCATTCTGCTTTGTGTCTGGAGAGTTTCTCATGAGTAGGTTGGCCGTTTTCTTGGTTTTATAGTAAATCGTCAATTGTATCTTCTGATTTTTGTCTGTAGGGATAACGTTTCTATTAACAATATCTTTCAGGACCCTTTCCTTCGTTTTATGAGCTGTGGAAAAGAAGTTCCTGTAAAATAGTCTAATAGGGGGTACAGGTGTTGTGTTAGTTGTCTCTTCAGAGGTTGCATTGCGTTTCACCTTCATTCTTATGATGTCTTCAACGAAACCACTGGAGAAGCCGTTGTTGACTAGGACCTGCCTTACCCTACAGAGTTTTTCATCGACTTACTTCCATCCTGAGCTGTGGCTGAGAGCACGGTCGACATAAGCGTTAACAACACTCCTCTTGTACCTGTCTGGGCAGTCACTGTTGGCATTGAGGCACATTCCTATGTTTGTTTCTTTAGTGTAGACTGCAGTGTGGAAACCTCCGCTCCTTTCCATGACTGTTACATCTAGAAAGGGCAGCTTCCCATCCTCCATCTAGTAAGTGAAACGCAACACAGAATTCCGCTCAAATGCCTCCTTCAGCTCCTGCAGATGTCTGACATCAGGTACCTGTGTAAAAATTTCGTCAACATACCTGCAGTATATGGCCGGTTTCAAGTTCATGTCGACTAAGACCTTTTGTTCAATGGTACCCATGTAGAAGTTCGCAAACAGGACACCTAGGGAAGAACCCATGGCGACCCCATCTACTTGCTTATACACGTGCCCATCCAGGCTCAAGAAGGGTGCCTCTTTAGTACAAGCTTGGAGGTAGTTTCCTTAGAATGTTTTCTGGTATGTCAAGAGGAGTACAGGCCGGATCATGATACACTCTGTCCGCTATCATCCCGATTGTTTCCTCCACAGGTACGTTGGTAAACAGTGATTCCACGTCCAACGAGGCTCTTATCCCTGTGGCCCGTGTTCCCCGCAGTAAGTCAACAAATTCCTTTGGAGACTTCAGGCTGAAGGCAAGGGACATAAGGAGTCAGCAAGCTGTTGAGTCGCTTAGCCAGTCTGTACATGGGTGTGGGTATCTGGCTGATGATTGGCCGAAGTGGGTTTCCAGGCTTGTGTGTCTTGACATTTCCTATGTTTTTTTTTTTTTTTGAGATATATACAAGAGTTGTTACATTCTTGTACAGCCACTAGTACGCGTAGCGTTTCGGGCAGGTCCCTGGAATATGATCCCCCTGCCGCGAAGAATTGTTTTTTCATCCAAGTACACATTTTACTGTTGCGTTAAACAGAGGCTACAGTTAAGGAATTGCGCCCAGTAAATCCTCCCCGGCCAGGATACGAACCCATGACATAGTGCTCGCGGAACGCCAGGCGAGTGTTTTACCACTACACCACGGACACTATGTCTTGACATAGACAAGAAATAAAAATGAATTTTGGAGAATTGATTTTTCAATTACCATCGACAGTGAAAAAAAACATAAGAAATATTGAGAAAATTCGTGTTAGAATTATTAATCTTACTTTTTCGATCATATTTAATAATATATGTCTACAGGAAAGACTGCTACCAAAATATACTAATATATATATATATATATATATATATATATATATATATATATATATATATATATATATATATATATATATATATATATATATATATATATATATATATATATGTCGTACCTAGTAGCCAGAACGCACTTCTCAGCCTACTATTCAAGGCCCGATTTGCCTAATAAGCCAAGTTTTCATGAATTAATTGTTTTTCGACTACCTAACCTACCTAACATATTAAGATAGGTTAGGTTAGGTAGGGTTGGTTAGGTTCGGTCATATATCTACGTTAATTTTAACTCCAATAAAAAAAAATTAACCTCATACATAATGAATTGGGTAGCTTTATCATTTCATAAGAAAAAAATAGAGAAAATATATTAATTCATGAAAACTTGGCTTATTAGGCAAATCGGGCCTTGCATAGTAGGCTGAGAAGTGAGTTCTGGCTACTAGGTACGACATATATATATATATATATATATATATATATATATATATATATATATATATATATATATATATATATATATATATATATATATATATATATATATATATATATATATATGACAATGTCAGACCACGAATCATTCCTTCTGAAGATGTATTTAATATACGAAAGTACTTAAGGAAATTCCTGTTTCATTTTCCTCCGTGGTCTAACATTGTCACATTCTTAATCACGTGTTTATTTTCGTGATATACACACACACACACACATATATATATATATATATATATATATATATATATATATATATATATATATATATATATATATATATATATATATATATATATATATATATATATATATATATATATATAATATATATATATATAATGGGTTCAGGTACGAACTATGGTGGTCAGGTCCTGAGCCCATTACGTGCCTCTGTAACCATTTCCACCACCGATCACGGGATGGGTATGGGGTGCATAATAAAGAAAGAAATTGAATTATGATAATCATTCGTGTATATTTCAATCTTTCATTTGGTTTCAGAGAGGCGACAATCATGGGACGGAGCCGCAAACTGTCCAGAAAGCTCCTCAAACGGACAGCTGAGAACCGACAATCGGCTGATGAGAAACAGTGTAACGAGGATGAGAAACACACTGAGAAACTCCAGGAGAATGGAGACCTGCAACAGACCGGCGAGCACCAACAGCCTGGTGCTCTGACCAAAACAATAATCCATCGCTGTAACATCTGCCAGTTGACGTTCACTACAACATTGAGCTTTGAAAGACACATGAAGAGACATGAAGCAGACAAACCACATGAGTGCCAAGACTGTGACAAGAAATTTGTAACCAAATCTGGCCTCGATATCCACAGAAGAAAACACACAGGTGAGAGACCATACAAGTGTGACAATTGCTCAAAGGCCTTCACAACACGATCAGTACTCATAATGCACATGAGAGGGCACACAGGTGAGAAACCCTATGAGTGCAATATTTGTGGTGCAAGATTCACTCAGAGTGCAACTCAAGCTGACCACATGCGGCGTCATACAGGAGAAGAACAATACCAATGTACCACTTGCCAAAAAAAATTTGTTACGAGAATAAATTATCGTGGACACATATTGGTGTGTCAAAGAAAAAGTAAGATTGAGTGTAAAATATGTAAAAAACTATTTATCAACAAGTTTACACTTAAAAGCCATATGGTTAAGCATTCAAATGAAAGACCATTTGAATGCGGAGAATGTGGAAACAAATTTAAAAGCAAAACTTCGTTGGCAAGTCATCTAAAATCCGTACATTCAAATAAAGAACCTTACAAGTGTGACATATGTATGAAAAGTTATACAGCAAGAAGGTCTCTCATCATGCATACGAAAACTCATACTAATATTGGCAGATTTCAGTGTGAACAATGTGGAAGGATGTTAAACTCTAAGAGACATGTTCTCCGTCACCAAACTTCACAAAATGGATGCAAGAGAAAGTATGTTTTTAAACCATTCTTTTGTAAGCTATGCGGAGCCCAGTTTACCAGTGACAGAGCCGTTCGCGATCATAAGCACCGGACCTCGGATTGCACAAAAACACTTGTACGTTTCTTATGTGACTTCTGTCGTGAGGATTGTAAAACATACGAAGGACTTGTAGCGCATCTGCTTGATCATGCTGAACCTGGAAGGAAAGGTTATGACAACTTACTCAATAGAATGACTCATGGCAAAAAACGTGTCAACCCAGCCTGGATAGTGAAGGTTTACAACTCGGGTACAGTTAGTACGCCGAGAGACAACAGAGCTCAGTGTGAACAATGTGGAAGGATGTTCATCTCTAAGAGTCATCTTCTCCGTCACCAAACTTCACAAAATGGATGCAAGAGAAAGTATGTTTTTCAACCATTCTTTTGTAAGAAATGCGGAGCCCAGTTTAATAGTAACAGTACCGCTAGCCAACATAAGTACCGGACCCCGGATTGCACAAAAACACATGTACGTTTCTTATGTGACTTCTGTCGTGAGGACTGTAAAACATACGAAGGTCTTGTAACGCATCTGCTTGATCATGCTGAACCTGGAAGGAAAGGTTATGACAACTTACTAGACAGAATGACTCATAACAAAGAACGTATCAACCCAGCCTGGATAGTGAAGGTTTACAACTCTGGTTCAGTTAGTACGTCGAGAGACAACAATGGTGCTCACATTAATATCGATCAACGGCAAGCCACAAGCGTCCCTACTGACCATACACCAGCTGTTCACAAGAACACAGCTGTGGACCATCAACGAGGCAATGTAGACGAACACAAAACAGCTGTAGATCATCACGAAACAGCTGAAGATCATCAGAAAACAGCTGTAGATCATCACAAAACAGCTGTAGGCCATCACGAAACAGCTGTAGACCTTCGCAAAACAGTTGTAGAGCATCACGAAACAGATGTAGATCATCACAAAACAGCTGTAAATCATCACAAAACAGCTATAGACCTTCGCAAAACAGCTGTAGACCATAACGAAACAGCTGTAGATCATCACAAAACAGCTGTAGACCTTCGCAAATCAGCTGTAGGCCACCACGAAACAACTGTAGATCATCACAAAACAGCTGTAGACCATCACGACACAGCTGTAGACCATCACGACACAGCTGTAGATCACCACAAAACAGCTGTAGACCATCACGACAGAGCTGTAGATCATCACAAAACAACTGTAGACCATCACGACAGAGCTGTAGATCATCACAAAACAGCTGTAGACCATCACGACAGAGCTGTAGATCACCACAAAACAGCTGTAGATCATCACAAAACAGCTGTAGACCATCACAAAACAGCTGTAGATCACCACAAAACAGCTGTAGATCAACACAAAACAGCTGTAGATCACCACAAAACAGCTGTAGACCACAAAACAGCTGTAGATCACCACAAAACAGCTGTAGATCACCACAAAACAGCTGTAGATCATCACAAAACAGCTGTAAACGTCTTCTCTCAGGATACGTGTTTAACTAGTGAAACTAATTTTGAAAGCATAAACACGAATGATAAGCTAAATAAGGATGAGGGAAGAAAATATCTCGGAAATAATGAAGCATATTATGAAAATGCAAATGAAAAACCTCACAAGTGTGACATATGCATGAAAAGTTATACAACAAGAAGGTATCTCATCATGCATACGATGACTCATACTAATATTGGCAGATTTCAGTGTGAACAATGTGGAAGGATGTTTAACTCTAAGAGACATGTTCTCCGTCACCAAACTTCTCAAAATGGATGCAAGAGAAAGTATGTTTTTAAACCATTCTTTTGTAAGCAATGCGGAGCCCAGTTTAACAGTGACGCAGCCGTTCGCAAACATAAGAGGAGGACCCCGGATTGCACAAAAACACATGTACGTTTCTTATGTGACTTCTGTCGTGAGGATTGTAAAACATACGAAGGACTTGTAACGCATCTGCTTGATCATGCTGAACCTGGAAGGAAAGGTTATGACAACTTACTCAATAGAATGACTCATGGCAAAAAACGTGTCAACCCAGCCTGGATAGTGAAGGTTTACAACTCTGGTACAGTTAGTACGCCGAGAGACAACAATGGTGCTCACATTAATATCGATCAACGGCAAGCCTCAAGCGTCCCTACTGACCATTCACAAGTTGTGCACAACAACACAGCTGTGGACCATCAACGAGGCAATGCAGACTATCACAAAACAGCTATAGACCATCTCGAAACTAGTGTAGATAATCACAAAACAGCTGTAAACGTCTTCTCTCAGGATACGTGTTTAACTAGTAAAACTAATTTTGATAACATAAACACGAATGATAAGCTAAATAAGGATGAGGGAAGAAAATATCTCGGAAATACAGATGCATATTGTAATTTAGACAGTAATCACGTGAATGGTATATGGGGAACATGTCAAGATCTTGACAACAACTATATTTCAACCAGGGAACTGCAGGTGAGGGATAAATGTGACATAGAAGTGGTCAAACATGCTTGTGTGATGCAGAGAAGTTATCCAATGATTACGGAAGCAGAAGAAGTGGGTTTGAAAGAGGAGGAGGAGACAGAGGATTATAATTTAGAAAGTAAACACATTGATGGTATATGGGGAACCTGTCAAAATCTTGGCAGCGATTATTATTCAACTAGGGAACTCAAGGTGAAGGAAAAATGTGACATAGAAGTGATCAAAGATGCTTGTGTGATGCAGAGAAGTTATCCCATGATTAAGGAAGCAGAAGAAGTGAGTGTGAAAGAGGAGAATGAGACAGTGGAGAAGTGGGTAGAAGAGCCGGAGATGCAGAAGACATCAGATAGACAGTTCCTAAAGAGCACCTCACTCCTCATCGTCAACGGCATCACCACAATCAAGCGTGAAGCGTGTCATCCTGCTCCTCACACTTCAGTACCTCATTATTGATCATATGTTCGACCATCCAACAACTGACTACGTCACAGCCTCACTCTTGGCTACCTAAGGCTTGGCTCTCTTGTACTCTATCACCTTTATATTGTTTATCATTAGATACATTTCTTGTACTTTATCACCTTTATATTCGTTTATCATTAGAAACAAATGTGAGAACATCTCACATTTGTTAGTTTACGTCTCATTTAGCTTACGTCTTAAACTAAACTCATTTAGTTTACGTCTTAACTCCATTTTATGTATAACAAAAAATTAACTGAATTATTTTAAGTTTTGCCTGAAACGCTTTGCGTATTAATGGCTTTATTTATTATCATTAATATTATTATTACTATTATTATTTACACAAGCAGATCACACTAGCGTGATATATCAATGAGAAAAATTGGAGCAAGAAGTACTGTGGATTCGATTGAATCTCATGTTGTATAACTTTTACCATGTTGTGGTCCAGAGGTAAGGTGCATGGCTTGGGAGTACCCAGGTCGAGGGTTCAAATTTATTCGAATTTCGGATATCTCTTTCTCCTCTCGTAGAAAGGAGTGAACCAAGTATACTACTCTATACTAATAGATATACCAATTAGTATACTAATTGGTAAAGCAGGAGAAGTAGCCTCTTTCATTGAAACATACTGCTGTCTGTCACTAAGGTAAGATTGCAAGTACTGTAGGGAGTGGCCTCTGACTCCATAGTGTTGGAGTTTGAGAGAAGGTTAATTAATGTGGTTAAGGGTCAAAAGCATTACCTAGGTAAATAAATAGACCAATGTGGTACACATTTTTGTCAAGGGCTGCATGTATTAGGTTAAGCATATTTATAAGAGCATCATTGGTGCTTTTATGGGGGAATGAAGCCATATTGGCTTGAACTGAGAACAGTATATTGTGTTTATCGAGAAACGAATAGAGTTGTTTGTATATGAGTTTCTCAAAGATTTTGGACAAGGTGGGAAGGCCTGATATTGGTCTGAAATTCTTGATTTCGGTGAGATCTCCACTCTCATGGACTGGAATGACTTTAGTCATTTTAAGAGCATCTGGAAAGTCTTGGAGCTCCAATGATTTATTGTAGAGCAATGCTATTGCAGGAGCTAGAAACCTTGAGAAGTTTTTATAGATTAGGGTTGGTATCTCAGAAGGGTTACAGGATTTAGTTTTAAGTGACAGGGTAATATAAATATTATATGAGGAGTTAGGTGGGGACAGGTACAGAGGCTCAAAATAGTTGCCAGAGGTAATCGCTCACATTACTTGGGGGAGCTGGGAGGTGCCAATAGACGAAAAGAAACTATTGAATTTAGTAGTCGTGTCAGCGCAGTTGATAAAATTCCACTATTTCCAGCTAGGATTATTGTTTTTTTTTTTATCCAAGTTCTTCTTTGACTCTAATATCTGGGAAATAGTATTCCATGTTTTCTTTTTGTTACCTTTTATAAATTTAAAATTATTTTCATAGTGGGTTGTCTTGGCTTTTTTAATATCTTAGAAAGCAGTGAGGAGTATTGCTTAGCCAATTCTCTGGGAATGATACCAAGCCTGCATTTCTTCTCATATTCATGTTTTTTATCAATTGAAGTAAGTAAAACCTTATTGAGCCAATGGTTGATGGCACTTTTAGTTGTGACTTGCTTACTAAGTAAAGGACAGTGAATATTATAGAGGCTTAGAGTTTTGCGAAGAAATGTCTGCACTCTTAGATTAATATTTTTCATATTTCCAAATTCCGTTTCCCAGTTTATGTTACCGGCAGCAGCTGTAAAGGTACTTATGGAAGCTTCAGTAAGCAGTCTAAATCTTATTTTCTTTGTTTCAAGAGGTTTAAAAATGTTGGTTAGGAGAAATGTTGGGTAGTGGTCTGTTGTATCATCAGTGATTATTCCAGAGCTTAGTGGAGAGGTTAAGGTAGTCCAAATGTGGTCAAGGGTGGAGGCAGTTTCAGTAATTCTCGTGGGTTTAGTAATCAAAGGCAAAAACATACAGGAGTTCATACAGTTGAGGAAGCTGGCAACAAGTGGGTTACCTGGCTGGCAGAGGTCAGTATTGAAATCTCCAGTTAATTTTAGTTGATTTTTGTGAAGGTTGTTCATTATTATTAAGTTTCTAACATTCGAATTTAATTCAGCTAATTTAATTCAATGTATTAGAAATTCTGTATACTGCTCCCAAAGTTAAGTTAGTGTTCAGGCCCTTCAGTTTGAAGTGATAAAAATATACTCTCCATGGGTAGATTTGATAAGTTTTGTGCATGATATATTCTTTTGGTAATAAATTAAAATGAATGAATTAAATGATTAAATTGGTGGACCGCCACCTCTCTGGTTAGGGCTACAGTTGTGGATAGCAGAATAATTGGGAATATTATATAGTTGGTTAATGTCATCACTTAACCAGCACTCAGTAAGAGCAACAAAGGAGAATTGGTAGTTGAGTGTTTACAATAAGGCACCAACATCATCATGGTGTTTGCTAAAGAGACCTTACATTGATGTTAATTAGACACATTGATGTTAATTAAAGATACATTGATGATAATTAGAGACACATTGATGTTAATTAGAGACACATTGATGTTAATTTAAGATACATTGATGATAATTAGAGACACATTGATGTTAATTAGAGACACATTGATGTTAATTAAAGATACATTGATGTTAATTAGAGACACATTGATGTTAATTAAAGACACATTATGGTTATTTGATAATAAATTGTTGGCAAGTTTTGCTGTATAGAACTTACAGTTGTTATCATTAAATTGATGATTGTGATAGACAGTAGATAAGAGATTCAATTGAGGGTTATTATAGTTGAAAGTAATTCAGTTTCGAGCAGCCTATATGTCAGTGTTCTGTTTCCCGTGAGTTTGTTTATAGGACAATTTATATTTTTATATCTAACTTTTACGCTATTTATATTACTAAATAAATTGTTACTAATTTTACCGATTTTCATTCCCAGAAACTCCGTGAGCAGGAGCTAGGACTAGCGTCACTCTACACGATGTTAGTGAATGCCCGTTATCTAAGATTTTAGACCAAATAGCATAAGATAGTGGAGCTTTTTCCCAGTGGGTACCGTTGGTTGAAAGCGACCGACGTTACACACTGTTTATTGTATCACGTCGGTCGCTTTCAACTAACGGTGCCCACTGGGTTATAACTATTTCATTCACCCAGGAATATTCTCCTACCTAATGAACATTAGAAGATATTCTCATACTCTAACCCGCACGTGTTCAGGGATATATCAGGAACAGTTGAGGGGCCACAGGGCTAACAACACTGCAAACCAGGCATTACGAGGCTGACCTCATTGAAACTTTTAAAACATTGAACAATTTGGAGGATGTTGATCCGGGCAATTTCTTCAAAAGGTCAGATGTAACACAAACAAGGAGCAACGGTTTCAAGCGCAACAAGCTACAATGTAGGACTAAGAACAGGAGAGGCTTTTTCATCCACAGGGTTATTAACCCATGGAACCGCCTACCCGCCGAAGATGTAAATGCCAAAAAACTGTTAACTTTTAAAGTCCAACTTGAAAAGATCATCATGTCGAATGGGGGAATCTTCGACAAGCATGTAGATACAGAACAACATGGTATAGCAGACGTTCGATTGTTCCTAATATATCCTTGTTAAAAATAAAAATAAGATGACCGCAAACATCATACCATAATTACCAATCAGTCACTAACTACCAGTATCTACGGGAGAGTGAGGTCAAGCTCTTCATGCCCCGCCTACCAGGCTTCTTAATCATACCTGTTGAATTATAATTTAACTATTCTGACGTTCGAATTTTTTGTCGAATCTGACCTTAAAGTTGTGGCTTCTACAACTTTCTTCAGCGCATTTATTTGTGTTTTTTTTGCCTTTAATCATATACGTATATTGTATAATTAGCTTTATCTTATATATAATTTATGTGTAATAATTAGCCATTGTAACATATTCTTATATATATTTTTTTATAAATAAGATTATTTTCATTATTATTGCTTTATGATTATTATTATTATTATTATTATTATTATTATTATTATTATTATTATCATCATCATCATCTTGTGTAGACAGGTAACGTGCACAAATAATATTTATTATTTATATATTTATTTATTTATTTATATACAAGAAGGGTACATTGGGTTTGTGAGAATACATAGCATATTATTTACAATCTTGTAAAGCCACTAGTACGCGCAGCGTTTCGGGCAGGTCCTTATCTAACAGATAATTTTAAGTAGGTAAATTCTAGCAGAATTAATAAAATGATAACAGATACATTGCCAAAAAAATATAATAATAATAATAATAAAAAAACTCTTACAAAAAAATATAAAACCAAAAAACCCTTTGTCGTGGTACCAGAAGTGTAACTACCCTGATGTTGCTAAGATTAACCTCCTTCAGCCAACTCCATCGGCTCTAGTGCTTTAGGACACCAACAAGGTCACAAACACTAGCCCCCCCAGCCAATGTACTGACAACCCAACATAACACACACGCAAACAAACAACACATACAAAAATGTCAACCCATGGTGGACAGCCCACCGAACTTTCAATCCTCCTCTCTCTCTACACCCGCATCCTCTTCCTGAATTTCATCTCCCCATCCCTCTACCTCCCCCATCCTTTCCAATCCCTTTGGACATCAAAGCTAAAGCTACATTGCAAGAAAAAAATGAGATGAGAGAGATTAGTAGGTATATTAAAGCACATTGGTAGCTCTAATTGATTGCATTGACAGCTTGATTGGTAATTTAAACAAAGATTAATAGGCACCATACAGCAAATTCCTTTACATATAAGAAGACAGCAATGATCACAATGGTAAAGTTGTTGCATATTAATATAGAGTCTTAGACCACATAATATATTAAATATACAAGAAGCATAATTAATGCACGAAAGTTATTGATATGACAAGAAAAATGCATGAAGGCTACATAAAGATTTAGGCTGGTCCCCCATCAGCTGTGAGTCAGCTGGAGGAGCGTGTCAAGAGTTGGAGCAGGAAACATGGCGACGGGTGCGGAGACACACGGCGTCTCATCGCCTGAAAACTTTGAAAATGTTGAGTAACGTGGAGACTTGCCGGCACCAAGCACACACACGGATAAAGATGGTTCCCCCGTGCTTTAAGGAGGATCAAGAAGGAGCCTGATGACAAACATCAACCAAAGGTAGGCCAAATTCTCCTGGCTTTAAAACTGTTATAATTTCAATTGGTGACCAGCTTCTCTGGATATTAGAGTTTTCGACAACAGCAGGAACACAGAGTATAATTTACAATGGCATTCAAACAAATTCTTCGGGATTAAGGTGCACGATATCAGGCCAAACAAGCGAAAGAAGTGATGTAGTCCACATCACTGTGGACTACAGTCCCTACACCCCTCCGTAGTGCTTCCTTGCCGTGGTGAGGGCTCACGTATACCTCCCTGGGACCGGTGTGGGTTGCCTTTGTCCCCCCTCCTGCCTCCTCTTTGGGTGGTGTACGTGCTGAAGGGCACCACGTAGGGGCCTTGTCAGCCATCGGACCACCTGCTGGAGAGGTCGCCCGTGAGGGGCCGCCCTGAGTGCATGGTTGGGTGTCCAGGCTGGGGCGATAGGGGAAATGGGGTCTTAGCACCAGTGTGGGAGAATGGACGATGTAGTAGGACTCCCCTGTTGAAAAGGGGGAGCACCGCTGGGGACGACGCTACCTTCCTGCACTGGCCCGCGCTCGGCCTCCCTGGCTGCCCTGGTAGGTGGTTTGGGACCCTTGGTTCCGGGTCCCAAACCTTTCAATTGATTGATGCATGGATGATGACACGACTTCTCTTACCCAGGCTCATGGGGTGGGCGACCAGGCCCCAGGGCCCTGAGTCGGACTGTCCTGGAAGACCGGGCTCTGTAGCCCCCGCTGCAGGGCCCGGTTTAGGCTCAGACCGGACTACTTCCTGCTCCCCTCCCTCCTCTGTGGATGGGTCGAGCCTCAAGCCTGCTGTGGTGACCACAGCAGCTTGCATTCTCTTATACTCTTATTCTCTTGCACGGCTCCATCTCTCATTGTGACTACTGTGCCTTATGACCCATCTCTCTCTAGAGGTTCTCACCGCCGTCCCCGCCACGGCCGCTCTCGTATGCTCCCTTCCCATACTAATTCGTACCATGCCTTGTTTGGTCCTGCTATGTGGACTATGTGCTTTGACCTCCATCCTTAAGATTCAACTCCTCCTGACGACTTTTCCCTTCATAGGCATCTTGTTGATTCAGTAGATGCCTCTGTTATTTTCAACTCCACTCGTCTTGGTACCTGTGTCATTGCTGCTCCTTCTCAGGATGCAGCCACCCGCTTGGCCGCCTTATCCTGCATTGGCGAGACCCCTGTTCGGGTCTCCAAGAACGCTCTGTTAAATGCCAGTGTTGGCAATGTTCTCCTCCCGCACCATGTTGCAACCGGAGTTAGAAATCTAAAAGACTGCCACGAGGATATCAAGCATATCCTCGAGGCCCAAAGCCATTCCGCCCTTCAGGTGGATACGTTTGCTCGTCTCCCTCGTGGCTGTCGCCGTCTGCCCCTTCGGGCTGTGAAGATTTTCTTTGATGGTAGGACCCTTCCGCCCTCTGTCATTCTTGCTGGGTGCCAGATGCTCCATTCAGGAGTATATTCCATCTCCTCGTCTCTGTAACAAGTGCTGGAAGTTTGGGCATGGTGCCCTCAAATGCTCTAGTCCTGTCTCTCTCTGTCCATTGTGTGGGGATGAGGGTCACTCCAAGTTGGAGTGCACTTCTCCCCAGGCCCGCTACTTCAATTGCGGTGAGGCCCACCCTACCTTCTCCCACACGTGTATACGTTACAAACTTTAGGCAGCCGTCCTCAACTTGAAGCACCGGGACCGTTTGTCTTTTCCTGAGGCGAGGCACCAAGTTTACCATCAGAGTGCCGGCGAGCTGATGGGCTAAATAGCCTCGGCTACCGTCAGTTTTTGTCCGGTTGTGATGGTCAAGTGGATTAAGGCGTCCTGTACATACCAGTTGCGTTGCTCCTGGCAGTATGGGTTCGAGTCACTTCTGGGGTGTGAGTTTTCAGTTGCATATAGTCCTGGGATCCATTCAGGCTTGTTCGCATTTGTGTTCCTCATGTGTGCCCCAAAGAATGAGGTGATTTGATAAAATGCTATGCCCAAGATTACCATCAGAGTGCCGGCGGGCTGATGGGCTAAATAGCCTTGGATACCATCAGTTTTTGTCCGGTCGTAATATATTTATACACTATATGAATGATATATATATATGATATATATATATATATATATATGCTATATATATGATATATAAATATGATATATATATGCACGTGATATATATATACACTAATAATATATACACTTTGCAACTGGTGTACAGGGCACTTAATCCACTCCACCATCACGACCGGACAAAAGCTGATGGTAGCCGAGGCTATTTGCCCATCAGCCCGCCGGCACTCTGATGGTAATCTTGGGCATAGTATTTTATCAACTCCCCTTATTCTTTGGGGCACACGTGAGGAACACAAATGCGAACAAGCCTAAATGATCCCCAGGCATACATGCAACTGAAAACTCTTCTTCTGGGGTGTGAGTTTTCAGTTGTCGAGTGTCCTGCCTTCGCTGTATCTATCGATGATTTCTGTGTTGCTTGTTAAGATTTCTCTGGTGATGGTCTGGTTGTGAAAAGAGATATGTTTCTTGATATATATATATATATATATATATATATATATATATATATATATATATATATATATATATATATATATATATATATATATATATATATATATATATATATATATATATGTCGTACCTAGTAGCCAGAATGCACTTCTCTGCCTACTTTGCAAGGCCCGATTTGCCTAATAAGCCAAGTTTTCATGAATTAATTGTTTTTCGACTACCTAACCTA